GTCATTGGTGATGCCATAAGTGGAAATCCCACACCATGAAATTTTACTTCACTACACACACACAGTGATTTAAAAATACTGCATGGAATTCCTTTCATGCTATACATAATTACATAAATTTTGTGTTTAGACTTGGGTTTCACTTCTAAGGTATCATTATATATATCCCCCCCCCAAAAAAAAAACAACCAAGCAAGCAAACGAATATGAGAAATGAAGCATGTCCGGTCCCAAGCATTTTTTGGGTCGCAAATAGCAGGGCTGGAGTCTGAACGGGGGCTCTCTGACTCTGACTGAACAGACATTGCAACCTTGTTCTTTCTCCTCTACAGATGGTGCAAGACAGTTTTCTGTTAACTTGGTCTTAGGGACCTCAGCAAGATATAAAGCCATAGAGTTGGCCATAAAAAGGCCCATCTTCCTTGGTGCCGTGCCTTAAATCTCTCTGTATTTCTCACTATAGCCTTTAGGATTAATGATGGGAGGGTCTGGTGCGATAGCGTAGCGGTTAAGATCTTTGCCTTGAATGCGCCAGGATCCAAATGAGCGGCAGTTCTAATCCCGGCAGCCCCACTTCCCATCCAGCTCCCTGTTTGTGGCCTGGGTAAGCAGTCAAGGGCGGCCCAAAGCCTTGGGACCCTGCACCCACATGGGAGACCTGGAGAAGAGGTTCTGTGCTTGATCAGCTCAGCTCCAGCCGTTTTGCTCACTTGGGGAGTGAATCATCAGATGCAAGATCTTCCTCTCTGTCTCTTCTCATCTCTGTATATCTGATTTTGTAATAAAGTAAATAAATATATATTTTTCAAAAGCATGGATTCAATAATCCTTTTCTTTTTTTGTAACAAGGGGCTGAGACAGGTGACTTTTTCAGTATTTCTTTTTTTTTTTTTAAGATTTATTTGTTTTTATTGCAAAGTCAGATATACAGAGAGGAAGATCTTCCATCTGATGATTCACTCCCCAAGTGACTGCAACAGCTAGATCTGAGCTGATCTGAAGCCAGGAGCCTCCTTCGGGTCTCCCATGTGGGTGCAGGGGCCCAAGCCTTGGGCTGTCTTAAACTGCCTTCCCAGGCCACAAACAGGGAGCTGGATAAGAAGCAAGGTTGCCAAGATTAGAACCGGCACCCATATAGGATCCTGGCACATTCTAGGTGAGGATTTTAGCTGCTAGGCTCTTGCGCCAGGCCCTTCTATCTTTAAATATATATATATTTGAAAGGTAGAATGACAGAGGGAGAAAGAGCAAGATTTTCCATTTGCTGATTTACTCCCCTAGATGGCCACCATGGCAGGGCTGGGCCGGGCTGTAGTCTCCCACAGAGTGGCAGGGGCCCAAGTGCTTGGCTCACCATCTGCCGACTTTCCAGGTACAATAGCAGAGAGATGGAGTGGAAGTGGAGCAGCAGGGATTTAAATTTGCCCTGGGAAGTGGCATGCTGGTGTTGCAAGCAGCAGCTTAATCCATTGGGCCAGAATGCCAACCCCCTTAAGTTTCTTTTCTTTTCTTTTCTTTTTTTTAAGGTTTTATTTATTTTCATTGGAAAGTCAGATATTCAGAGAGGAGAAGAGACAGTGAGAAAGATATTCCATCCAATGACTCAATCCCCAAGTGAGCCCAACGGCTGATGCTATGCCAATCCGAAGCCAGGATCCAGGAACCTCTTCTGGGTCTCCCATGCAGGTACAGGGTCCCAAAGCTTTGGCTTGTCTTCCACTGCTTTCCTAGGCCACAAGCAGGGAGCTGGATGGGAAGTGGAGCTGCCGGGATTAGAACTGGCGCCCATATGGGATCCTGGCGTGTTCAAGGTGAGGATTTAAGTCGCTAGGCCACGCCGCTGGGCCCGACCCCCTTAAGTTTCTTAAGAGCCTCTTGGGTGAGCAAATGGTTTTTAGAGCACTACCTTAGATCTTCATCCCTAACAAAGGATATTACAGTCAGTCTTGGCTTCATATTTTTGTTAAGATTTATTTATTTTTATTTGAAGGGTGGAGTTACGCAGAGAAGGAGAGGTGTCTTCCAGAGAGAGATCTCCCGCTTGCTGCTTCCCTACCCAAATCTCCAAAACGGCCAGAGCTGACCTGATCTGAACTGGCTTCATCCTTAGACTGTGTTCCCCTGGGAGTCTTCTGGACTTGCGGTTTTCCTGAAGAACATCTTAAAATGTGAGTATAGTTTGCTATCTGGAGAGCCTAAGAATGCGAAAAGCAAAAGGTTTCAGTTCCTTTTAAATGGTCTTTTTTCCCCACCTAGCTTTCCCTCTCCCACTTTGCTACAAACCGCATACAGAAAGCAGAGGTCACCCCAGTACTACCTGCAGATCTCGACTCCATTTCCATTCATGAGCTCCATAGCCTGCTTCCTGTGTTACTACAGGCTAACTGGTGCTGCTAAACTTGTTACATTATAACCCTCCTCTTTCTGCCGGTTTCCAACCTCATATTTTCCTCCCTTTCAAGTCTTCCTTGCCTGCCCCTCTGAAGGTCATCCACTCACAGGCACTTCGAGGCATTTTCATTTTTACATTTAAAAAACATTTTCCATTGTTTTTGCATATAAGTTCCAGTTATTGAAAAGGTAGAGTGACTGATAGAGAGAGATGACAGTATTTAGATTCATTCCCCAAATGTCAGCAACAGCTGGGGCTGGACCGGGCCAAAACCAGAAAACTGGAACTCCATCTGAGCCTCACTTAAGGGAGCAGGACCCAGGCACTGTGCCGGTAGGAAGCTGGATCAGAAGCCGAGTCAAGACTTGACCCCAAGTGCTTCGCTATGGGATGCAAGTATCTCAAGTAGTGGCTTAACCTCTGGGCCACAGGCCTCTGCCACTCCAGCCATTCGCCGACATTCGTCTGTCTGCAGGGTCACCTCATCGCCTAATTCCAAACCGCTCTCATGTTTTATGTATCAGTTGCAGCAGAAGTCCATTTCTGGTGTCCAAATGTGTATTAGCTATAGTTTGCTGAATGACAAATCATCTCCAAATTTATCAGCTTTCAATATAAAATATGGGGATAATATAATGGTTCAACTGGCTAATCCTCTACCTGCAAGCGCTAGCATCCTCCATGGGCATAAGTTTGTGTCTGGTTGGGGGAATCCCAGAGCCTATGAAACTGTGTCATAAAATGATATATACAAATAAAAAAGAAAAAGAAATTATTTTCATGATACTGTTCCACAGGCTCGGAGATTTCCCCTTGTACCCTCTTTATTTCTGCTTTCCCCATCTTCTGCTGCCTTCCCCTATTATCACAGTAGTATAGTCCTGCAACAGCAGTCACAAGTTCATCATTCTTCTATTTAATGAATCATGACATTGTAGGTATAGAGAATGATAGAAACGCCAGCATACTGTTGCCAAGATATATTTAACAGTTTCATTGGGAGTCTATCTTTTATTCGAGATTAGACACGCATACTGCAATGTGTCTTCAATTCTCAGTATACTGGTCTCTATTATAGAGCTCTTCTAAGTGAATATATGTATACACTCATTTATTTGTATATCTATTGCTCTTGTATTTTAGATGAAGGTTGCCTTATATCAGTGAGAACATGATATATGTCCTTTTGGAATTGGCTTCTTTCATTTTTTTTTTTTTAAGATTTATTTATTTTTATTGGAAAGGTAGATATACAGAGAGGAAGATCTTCCGTCTGATGAATTACTCCCCAAGTGACCGCAATGGCTGAAACTGAACAAATCCAAAGTCAGGAGCCTCTTCTGGGTCTCCCACACAGGGGCAGGGTCCCAAAGATTTGGGCTGCCTCAACTGCTTTCCCAAGCCACAAGCAGAGAGCTGGATGGGAAGTGGAGCTGCTGGGATTAGAACCGGTACCCATATGGGATCCCAGCGCATTCAAGGCGAGGACTTTAACCACTAGGCTATTGTGCCGGGCCTGGGATTGGCTTATTTCAGTGAGCATAATGGTCTCTAGGTGGGACCATTTTATTGCAAATGGTAGAGTTTCATTTTTCATGGCTAGGCAGTATTCCACAGAGCAGATGTACCACAGTTTGTTTATTCTTTCCTCTTTTGACAGGCATCGGGGTTGTCTCCATGTCTTCACTATTGTAGGTTGTGTTGCTTTAATTCTAGGAATAGTGGTCACTTTCTCAACTGCAGATTTCATTTTCTTTGGATGTATTCCCAGAGGGGGGATAGCTGGGTCCTATGGTAGATAACCTTCAGTTGTCTTAGTACTCTCCATACTGACTTCCACAGTGAGCGTACTAGTCTACATTGTCACCAACAGTGAAACACACTATATTTCTCCTGACACACATACCAGCAGGTATTGTTAGTAGTGTTTCAAATGTAGACCGATCTCACTGGAGTTGAGTGGAATCTCAGTGTGGTTTTTATTTGTATTTCCCTGATAGCTAGGGAACCTGAACATTTTCTCATCTGTCTATTACCCATTTGAATTTGTTCCTTTGAAAAATATCTATTCATTTCCTTCACACATTTCTTCACAGGGTTGTTTATTTCGATGTCATTGAGTCTCTGAAGATCTCTCTTTTTAAAAATATTTATTTATTTTTATTGGAAAACCAGATATACAGAAAGGAGGAGAGACACAGAGAGAAAGATCTTCCATCCACTGATTCACTCCCTAAGTGGCCCCAACAACTGGGGCTGAGCGAATCCGAAAACAGGAGCTTCTTCTGGGTCTCCCATGTGAGTGCAGGGTCCCAAAGCTTTGGGCTGTCCTCAACTGCTTTCCCAGGCCACAAGCAGGGAGCTGGATGGGAAGCAGGACCGCCTGGATTAGAACCAGCATCCATATGTGATCCTAGTGCGTGCGAGGCAAGGACTTTAGCCTCTAGGCCACGCTGCCAGACCCTGTGAAGCTCTTTGTAAATCCTGGATGTTAGTCTCTTGTCGGTTGTGTAGTGTGCAAAGATTTTCTTCCCACTCTGCCAGTTGCTTCTTTACTTTAGATCATTTTCTTTGCTGTATAAAAGCTTCTTAGTTTAATGTAGTCCTAAAAAATATGGAACCCTTCACAGCTTTGTGTGTCATCATTGCATAAGGGCCATGCTCATCTTCCCTGATCATTCCACGGTTAGTATATGTGCTACGGAAACAAACACTAGGCTGTTATACTTCGTCTAGCTCCCTGCTTGTGGCCTGGGAAAGCAGTGGAGAATGGCTCTGTACCTGCATGGGAGCTTGGAGGAAGCTCCTGGTTCCTGGCTTCAGATTGGCTCAGCTACTGCCATCATGTCCATCTGGGGAGTGAACCAATGGATGGTTAAATCTCTTTCTCTCTGTAATCTACCTTTCTCTCTGTAAACCTCTCTCTCTGTAAATCTCTGCACATACAAGGCAAGGATTTAACCACTAGGTTACCACACCAGGCCCTATTTATTTATTTTTAAAATATTTACTTATTTTGGGCCTGGCATAATGGCTCAGTTGGCTAATCCTCCACCCTGCAAGTGCTGGCATCCCGTATGGGCACCAATTCCTGTCCTGGCTTGTCCACTTCCCATCCACATTCATGAATGCATCCCAGGAAAGCAGTAGAGGATGGCCCAAAGTGTGGGACCCTGCATCTGCGTGGCAGACATGGAGAAGGAAGCTCCTAGCTCCTGGTCAATTTAGCTCCAGCCTTTGCTATCATTTGGGCAGTAAACCAGTGGATGGAAGATCTTTCTTTCTCCTTCTTTCTGTAGAGCTGCCTTTCCAATACAAATAAATCTTTCAAAAAAGAGATTTATGGACCTGGCGCAATAGCCTAGTGGTTAAAGTCCTCATCTTGAACGTGCTGGGATCCCATATGGGTGCTGGTTCTAATCCCAGCAGCTCCAATTCCCATCCAGCTCCCTGCTTGTGGTCTGGGAAAGCAGTCGAGGACGGTCCAAAGCTTTGGGATCCTGCACCTGTGTGGGAGACCCGGAAAGAAGTTCCTGGCTCCTGGCTTGGGATCAGCGCAGCACCGGCCATTGTGGCCGTCTTTGGGAGTGAATCATTGGACAGAAGAACTTCCTCTGTGTCTCTCCTCCTCTCTGTACATCTGCCTTTCCAATAAAATAAATAAATCTTTTTTTTAAAAAAGAGATTTATTTATTTAGCAGAGTAATAGTGTTGCAGATAGTGAGTGATACCACGCCAGACACCAGTGTAGGATGGAAGGAGGGGTCTTTATTAGCCAAGCTTGGTGACGGCAGCTGCTGCCACACTCCGGGAAGCACTGCTCTGCTTGGCTGAAGTCAGGGATTTTTAAGCTCCCCTTGACACAGCAGCTAGGGATTTTCCAATCAACTCAGGCAGTACACACGACAAACCATAATCCAACCTCAGGGCAAGCAGCTAGTGAGCGTGTTTGGTGAAGCAGGGAGCTTGGATTAGCTACACCCAAAACCTAGTAGTATCCCAGGGGGCACCGGCTTCCTTCTGTCCTCCTTTAAAATATCACATTTGCTCACTTTCGTGGGGTGCCACCCCATGTGGCTGCATCCCACCACAATAGAGAGGAAAAGACAAGGACAGAGACTTCCATGCACTGTTCAGCCTGGGTCAGACTGAAGCTGGGAGCCAAGGACTCCATGCAGGTCTCCCATGTGGGCTGTGGGGCCCAAGCATGTGGGCCTCCTTCTGCTGCTTTCCAGGCACACCAGCAGGAAGCTGGATGGGAAGTGGAGCAGTGACAGGGTCTGAGCTTGAATGTGGGATGCTGATGTTGCAAGTGGAAGGTTGACATGCTGCACCACAGTGCCTCCCCTCTGTCACGCTGATGGCCTGCTCCTCTCACCACTAAGGATTTGCTGATTCTCAGTACCCAAACAGTGGCTGGCACCCAGCAGGTCCTCAATGCATGCTTGTGGATTGAATTCCTGACTACCAATGTGTTCATCGACACAGTTAACCTTGTATGGTTCGTTTGTCCCACTTGAAAGATGAGGAGGAGGTTACAGAACCTGCTTCCAGCTTGCAAGCAAGAAAGGCTGAATGCAAATCCAGGGTCCCGGTACAGCCGTGTCCCAATCTGGACATGGTATGGCTTCCACACCCTACAAGCCACCGTTATTAAATATCAGTCAGGTGCAGCCATCCAGAGAGGAAGGGGACGGGCCTGCCTCAGTTTAGGGGACCAAAAGTCTTTGCAACTGAAGCTGCATTTCAGTGAGGGAAAGGAGGTATGCAAACTAGGGACAAATGCCTGACAAGCGGCAGTCCACAGAGCACAACTTGTTTATGCAGTCTGAGCTGAAGGGCAGAGATCATAGTTAACCGAGCAAATCAAGGTGCTTCCCCCCCCCCCACCCCGCCCTGTGGAAGACAAGCAGCCACTGAAGGCCAGGGCGGATTTGGGACAGCCCTGACTGGCATCTTCCGTGCCCCCTGGAGCCCTGGGATGGGAGGGTAGGTAGCAGGAGGCTAACTCCTCAGGACAGCACAAGGCCAGAGGTCCTGCGTCCCTGGGGTGGAGAGGACGGGACTGCAAGGGCGCAGCAGCTTTGCTCGGTGCCCGAGTTGGCATCCAGAAAGGAGCATGAAGGAATGCAGACAGCACTTACAGCCTTTGGCGGGAGACCAGAGGAAGGAGTGGGGGAAATCACTACAGACTTCTGCGGGATCCAGGAGTGAGCTTCTCCCCGCGAGGAAACCTGCCCGCGTGCTGCCTGGGAGGGAGTTGAAGACCATACCATATGGGCCCCTGCCCCCACCTCCTGGGGCGGAGACAGCCCTGGGCCTGAAAGGCACCTCGATTCCATCTGGGTGCGGAGCCCGTCTGGTCCAGATGACAAAACTTAAAGCTCATGGGTGCTGGTTAGCTCCTGCAGACAGACAGACAGACAGACAGACAGACAGACAGACAGACAGACACACACACACACACACAGTCGTGGGTCTCATTTTCAAAGGCCACAGAGTGAGGGGAACGCAGAGGGTCACTCACTTGCCTTGGCCAGCGGGAGCTCGGGCCTGCCAGCCCACCTGGCCCTGGGGAGGGCATCCCCGGTGACCCGTGCCTGAGGCGTCCACCGGGGGGCAGTGTGACGACCCGGCGGCGCTGTGCGGAGAAGGCGCCCGGCGCCTCCCGGGCTGGTGCCCGCGGACCCTCGGCTGCACGCCCCCTCTCCCGCCCTTTCCCGGCGTTAGTGACGGCCAGCCGCCAACCCGCGCCCGGGGGCCGCCGACGGAAACTCTGACTTGTCCCTCTGTGCAGCCAGAGAGCCAAGAACGGCTTGTCTGCCCGTCTCGCCCAGGATCCCACCCCTTTAAGTACAGGTGTCCAGGGTGGAAACACGGAAGTGGGGAGGATGACGGGAAAAGCTGGTGGGAGCCACCGGCTCTAGGGCAGCTGGTCTTGACCTTGGCTCTCTCTCGGCCCTCCGAGTACAATTTGCAGTTCCGACACCCAGCACAAGGGGGTGCCACCAGCATGCAAACCCTACCCAGCAGGAATCTTGCTGCATGGGGAGAACGTGAGCTATGGGTCCCTTCCCCAACTTCCAGCCACTCAGAACTTATTTGTGACCTTGCGTAGGAGTGAGGGTCCCTCTGGAGCACCTGCCTGTGGAATGGAGGAGAGGGGGTCATCGGGCTTGGTCCTCAGAGGGGTGGGAAACGGGCCTTCAGGATCAAGGTCCCAGCTGGAGCACATCCGGAGGTCCTGGCATATCTCCAGAGCTGGGTCAACTCTGCCTAATACCGACCACTCCCACACTGAAAGCCAGAAGCCAGAAGAGGGTCAGGACAAAGGAAAGGTCGGCACATAGGGACCATGTAGGGGGTCTGGGAACACCAGTTCTGGTAGCATATTAAGCCTGTTAAACCTCTACTTGCTTCAACACCAGGATCCTATATAAGCACAGGTTCAAGTCCCAACTGCTCCATTTCTGATCCAGCTCCCTGCTAACGCACCTGGGAGCGCAGCAGAAGATGGCTCCAGTGCTTGGGCCTCTGCCAACCAAGGGAGAGACGGCCATTTGGGGAGTGGACCTTCAGGTGGAAGACCTGTCTCTCTTTCTCTCCATAACTCTTTCAAATTAATTAATTAGGGGAACTGGGTGAGTTCATTAATGGTGACACATACAGTTACATGAGATATTAATAATAGGGGAAATGTAGTGTGTGGGAATTCTTTGTATTACCACTCTTCAAGTTTTGTTTTGTAAGTTTACAAAACAAACTGTTCAAGCATGTTTCTTTTTAAATTAATATTTATTTATTTTTATTGCAAAGTCAGATATACAGAGAGAAGGAGAGACAAAGTGGAGCAGAGCTGGGATTCAAATTCAGACATTCCGGGCTGGCATAGTAGCTCAAATGGCTAATGTTTCCCCTCCAAGTGCCAAGATCCCATATGCACACCAATTCATGTTCTAGCTGCTCCACTTCTCATCCAGTTCCCTGCTGTAGCCTGAAAAAGAAGCAGAGGATGGCTTAAATTCCTGGTACCATGCACCCACATAGGAGACTAGGAAGTAGCTCCTGGCTCCTGGCTTCAGATCAGTTCAGCTCCAGCTGTTGCAGCCATTTGAGGAATGAACCAGAGGAAGGATCTTTCTGTCTCACCTACTCTCTGTAAATCTACTTCTCCAATAAAAATGAATGAATCTTAAAACAACAAAAGTACAATAAACATAAAAAACCAAATCAGTCATTCTGATATGAAATGTGGGTGTCTCAAGTTGTTTGTCAAATACCAGTCCCTCAATTATTCTTATTTTTTCAATAAAGATTCATGTATTATGAATTGGAAAGAATAACAGAGAGAAAGGGTGGATGACAAAAAGATGGCCTTCCATTATCTGATTCAGTTGTAAATGACTACAACAATCAGGTCTAGGCCAGGCAGAAAGCAGGAGCCTGGAACTGCATCTGGTCTTCCACATGGGTGGCAGAAAGTCAAGGACAAGCTATCCTGCTTTCCAGGCGCATTGCGCAGCACCTGGGCTTGGTGCAATGGCTCAGTGGCTGAATCCTCACCTTGCATGAGCCAGGATCACATATGGGCACCGGTTTATGCCCTGGTCACTCCAATTTCCATCCAGCTTCCTGCTTGTGGCCCGGGAAAGCAGTGGAGGACAGCCCAATGCTTTAGCACCGGAAGAAGCTTCTGGCTTCGAATCAGCTTAGC